CATTTCCGATAAAATATCCATTTCTGCCGCTTCCCGTATCTTCTCTATGAGTTCCTCTTGTTTCGGTATCTCCAATTTCTTCCAGTTCTTAGCATAAAGAATTCTGGCTGCAGTGACTATATATATAAAACTAAGTAGTTCTTTGCCTTATCTATATTGTCTGGTATAATGCTCTGGTAAAAACAGTTCTGGGGTTGATGGAACATTACAAAGCAGTATTTTTTTTTGTAACAGAGTATGTCCTGCTATCCAATACTGTTTCGCTACTCTACAAGTCCACCACATATGGTAAAAACTTCCCTCATGTGCTTCACACTTCCAACAAACATTTGACGCCTCTGTATAAATCTTTTACAATTTTTCCAGAGTAATATGCCACCCATAAAACATCTTGTATATGTTCTTCTTGAAATTAACTGGTTTTGTGAGCTTTATGTTATTTTTCCATATTTGCAACCAGAGTACTGCATTCACAGAACTCCGTTACCAAACCATGCCAATGGCTGGCTTAGACGGCAGGTGCATGAATGTCCCCAAGCATCTAAGGCTGTGTATTTGCGGAGCAGGTGAGATAGAGGATTTGTCCACTATTTAATCTACGGTCAGCTCTATCAAAAACCCCAGAGAAAAATTCCTGGGTAACATTTTGGCTGATCTACAGGAGGAAAGCTCCCAGACAAAGGTGGTCTGGATTATGACCCATATATCACATACAGAACAGCACTGTTTGCAAAACCAGCCAGAAACATTCATGCTAATTTCCTGAGAGCCATCTCAATCAATTGTGCAGGAGACTCCCAGATATGAAGGGTCTCTTATTATTTTATATGTCTGTGATTTTATCATGATTTTATTTGATTATATTTGTATTTTAAACAATTGTGACGGCTTTGAGCTAATATAATAAACTTGACTTGACTATTTGCAACCATTGATCAATATCAATATTATGTCCTATACGTATTTTGTGCCCACCTAATCATACATTCTTTGACCTTCTCGTCTTGCATTTTAATTTCAAGCAAATAATCATACATTTTCTTTATCCTTTGAGCCCAGCAGAAGTTTATCGAATATTGTTTGTTCTGGGTAAAAGCCCTCTATTTTATCTTTTCTATACCTAGATTCCATTAGTGCTCTGGACCACCAGTCTAGATATATGTTTTTTCGCTCTAACTCTTCTTTAGACCTTAACTCACAATCCCTTTTTAAGTAAATCTCGATATCTTAGAAGTTTTGCTTCCATCATGAGGTTACGTTGTGTGAAGGCCTCTATAAGTGATACCCAGACTGGTGGTTTTTTGGTAAATCTGTTGAATGATCTTTTTCCAAGTCCCTAGTAATGCTCTTCTTATCATATGTGAGCTAAAAATTTTCTGCTGTTTATCTTTTTTGTGCCATAGAAAAGCATGCTAACCGAACTGTAAATCATGTCCTTCCAAACACCTATATTAATCTTAATAATCGCTTTTGTCCCTGCAGCACAGGCTTCTGCGGTTTACCCCACAGCGCCACCACGTCTTATCATATGTGAGTTAAAAATTTTCTGCTGTTTATCTTTTTTGTACCATAGAAAAGCATGCCAACCGAACTGCAGATCATGTCCTTCCAAACACCTATATTAATCTTAATAATCGCTTTTGTGTCAATGTATGGATTCTGTATGATTGTGTAAACTTAATGGCCACATTAATTTTCTCCAGTGAAAAAGAAAATTCAGTTCCAGTCTGTCAAATGCTTTGTCAGCACTGAGTGACAAAATGGCTAAAGGTGTTTGAGGTTTTTTTGCACAGTAGTTACTGTTTTAAAAGCCACTTCACTGAATTAGTCATTTGTCTGCTTGGCATTGAAGCATCTTGCTCATTATTTATATATTGAGTACACATTTATGGAGCCTCATTGACATAATAAAGATTACTAACTTGCCATCTTTATTTGTAAGAGAAATGGGTCAAGAGTTCATTGAGTTTATAATCATGTCAGCTTCTTATGAATGAGCACAAGCAGGGCTCAGGAGAAACTGATTTTGAGATACAACCCATCCAGTTATTTAAGTTGAGATAATCACTAGTATTCCCGCATAATTTTGTGTTTCTAGGTTGGAATCTTAATACTTAGATATGCCGGCATAAGTCAAAGAACAGAAATCGTGGTGGCCCATTGCCACCAGATTGAGATGCTGACACTTGTATTTCTTTTTGCATGCCAAGCCATGCAAATGGTATGTGATGCATACAAGCCTCCATTTCTGAACTTGTAGCTCAATTGCTGTGATCTACACCATTTGACTTTCACCGGCACGCTTGTGATGTGATTCTGGCTGCTGTTTGGGAGACTTTTTGGGACAAAAACTTCCAAAAATATTTATAATTTAACATTTGTAAGGTATTCAAAATATTTATATCTTGCTCAAACCTTTCCTAAGTGTTTGAAAAACAATGCACTCATATCTTCTTCAAATGGAGGAGCAGGTTTTAATTTGCAAATCACAGAATCAAGGCATTTACAGTAAATATGAGATAAATGGACAGTGTAACAACATGCAAATGTAACAACTAGGAGAGGCATGGACAATATAACAACTGTGTAAATGTAAGTGCTTATGTGAACTTTAATCTTATTGGTGTTTTTCTTAGAATCTCTTATCCCCTTCCTTGTATTCTCACCTTGAGTCTACCCCTCCTATGAATGAAGAGGCACACTTTCCTAACATCAGGGTCTTTTCCAGGGAGTCTTCTCATGAGATGGTCAAATTATTGGAGCCTCAGCTTCAGGATCTGTCCTTCCAGTGAGCACTCAGGGTTTTGGCATGCTCTGGTCCATGGGGTCACGAAGAGTCGGACATGACTAAACGACTAAACAACTCCTATGAATGAGTCCAATTAACACACGCAATTAATGACTTCCACATGATGCAAAAAAGATATTTGGGATTAGCCAGCTTCCTAGTCAAATCCAATCCATGTTTCGAGCAAAGGCCCTTCTGGATTTGCTCGTAGCATTATTCAGCTGAGCTGACCATCAGCTTCTTTTGTTGCGACTCTGCTTTCTTTTGCACATTGTCAGAAGTCTATGCTGTTGCTGGAAGGTGGCAGCAAAGCCATTTCAGGCATAGGTTGAATGTGTCATTTGATAATTACAACATTACTTCCCAGAATTCAGCCATTGCCACTGGACAGAACCAAACATACTTTCCAAGTGCCTGAACATCTTTCACAAACATATGAGATATATCACCTTGAACATGTGGTTCAGTCCTGTTGGTGTCAGTTTCAGGCATCAACTAAGCATTTTAAAGAGAAGACCCCCTAGATTAATTGAAATAGAATGGAAATACTACATATTTTTCTAAGACAAGATTGCTTATTTATCTGTTTTCCAAAATGATTACAAAGTGCCTGTCCAAATTACCTTGCTGGATACAATAAATGTGGATATAAGATATTCTCAAGAATCAGTAGCCAGAGTCCTATTAATTTTTCCCCTAGAACCAGTGGCTAGAATCCTATTAATGTTTGCATGAGGTTTGCTGAAGTTCTGTGGCTAGTTGCTGAGGTGGGGTGGGGCACATCTGGTTTGCACAACTAGACACATGAAATGCACCCCAGCACCTTTTCAATTAACACTGTTAGCCACAGCAAGTTATGCAAAACTTACATGAATAGGATTCTGGTCATTCAAACCAAATGCAAAATTCTTCAAAATCCATTAATGCGCTGAATGCTTATTTAGCTCTCATCTGTGAAATGTCTGTTTGGTGTACTAGAAAGCTTTTTATAGGATCATTTTGTATCTGGTCTTGCATTTAAATGCTCATAAAGGATTGTGTTATATATATGGGAAAAAACTATCTATTTGGAGTAATATTTGCTTAAAGTACTATGGTGACTTAACTCTAATCATTCAGAGATGAAAAGACATTCTGAAACTAACAATCATGCATTGCATCCCTTGGTAACTTAAGCAATTTCTTCTGATAAATCTTAATATGTTTGACCATTAACAGGAGTCATCTTCTCATCCAAGACTCCTTCATTACTTCATTGTAATACAAATAAGTAATGAATGAGATTTCAGTGTCATGCTCTTTTTCACGAGAACCACAGCTTTTTTTCCTTTTCAAACTGATTAGACCAAAAACTCTATTTTGTGTATTGTCTGCAAAATGTACTGGCCACGACATTCTGTTGGAATCCCACAAAGACTATAACATACAGAGAAAAGATAATACAAGTAACATACTCACTAGAATGTTCCATATACCTAAAAAGGTGAGACTCACAAGAAATCTTAAAAGAAGCAACTATTCGTACATAGATCAGTACACAGATCAGTATGAGAAGAATTGAAGAGAAATTCTGAAGCCAATCAGATAGTTTCATCAAAGGGTCTGAGCTATGAAACTCTGTAGTTCCGTAAATTTTTTAATAGCAGATACAGGTGACAAACAATGGAGAGTGGCCATTACCTTCATGTTCTCTTTGTGAGTATCTACAATATAGAAGACCAGCAGTCGTAAGATCAAATCCACGCAACGGAGTGAGCTCCTGTCGCTTTGTCCCAGCTCCTCGACAACCTAGCAGTTCGAAAGCATGTAAATGCAAGTAGATAAATAAGTACCGCCTCGGTGGGAAGGTAAAATGGCGTTCCCTAGTCACGCTGGCCATGTGGCAATGGAAAAATGTCTTCGGACAAACGCTGGCTCTACGGCTTGAAAAACGGGATGAGCACCGCCCCCTAGAGTCAGACACGACTGGATTAAAAATGTCAAGGGGAACCTTTACCTTTATCTTTACAATATAGGCATCTTGCTGAGTGCCCTTACATACCACAGTAGGCTAAACGGAGCTTGGTCATATAGCAAGGGGAACCTTTACCTTTATTTTTACAATATAGGCATCTGGCTGAGTGCCCTTACATACAGTACTGCAGTAGGCTAAACGGAGCTTGGTCATATACAGGAAAGCAATCATGTTTTTATGATTCAGGCTAATCACAAATCACAATGTTGTTCTTTGTGAACCTCTCAGGTGCCTCTGCCAGTCTCTGAAGGCCTCATTGACTTTCTTATTCCTCAAAGTGAAGATGAAAGGACTTAGAAAAGGGGTCACTATTGATGTTAACAGGGCAACCAATTTGTTCACGTCACTTGAGTAGTGTTTGCTGGGCCTTACATAAATGAAGATGGTGGTGCCATAACCGATGACCACCACAGTGAGGTGCGAGGCACAGGTAGAGAAGGTCCTCTGCCGGCCAGTTGCAGATGGGATCCTCAGGATGGTGGAGATGATTGCAACGTAGGAGGCCATGGTCACAAGAAAAGAGCTTAACACAAATAGGATGGCAAGAAGGAAGTCCCAGATCTCAATGAGGTGGGTGTCCGAACAGGAGAGTCTGAGCAAGGGTGCATTGTCACAGAAGAAATGGTCAATCTGATTTAAACTGCAAAACAACAGTCGAGCCCTGAAAACTGTTGGTAGAATCATGGAAGACAAGGAAATCATCCATGACCCCAAGGCCAGCTGGATGCAGACACTATTGCTTAAGATAGTGGCATAATGCAAGGGATGGCAGATGGCCACATAGCGGTCAATTGACATTACAGTCAGTAGAAGGAATGTCGTTGTCCCCAGAGAAAAGTAGAAATAAAACTGAGCCAGGCACCCTCCGAAAGAGATAGTACTCCCTTCAGTCATAAGGTCTGCCAGCATTCTGGGAACTACTGTGGATGTGACCAGCATTTCTGCCAAGGAAAAATTACACAGGAAAAAATACATAGGGGTGTGAAGTCTTGAATTCAAACAGATCAGGGAAATAATAGCAATATTCCCAGCTACCATACACAGATAAAGTACTAGGCATGGTCCAAATAGAACATTTTGCCATTTTTTCATACTTGAGAAACCTATCAAGATGAATTCTGTGTTACTAGTATAGTTGTCCATCAGCAGTGTTTTCTACATTTCTTTCTGCAGGACAAAAATAAGGAATTAGTCTCTGTTTGATGGGAGGACGGCCACATACATTTCTCTCTATTGAAATACTTAGGGCTGATCCAGATCATTTATGTAATCTTGTAATATGTAATTGGGAAACTAACAAGGCAAAACAGATGTAACAGGAACATAGCTGATGCCAGTTAGGAAGGTATTCTGAAAATCAGTCAGTCAGTTGCTGTAAATTGAAGGCAGCTTAAGAGCACATAACAAGATTCATTGTCCTTTTATTCTCTACGAATTTTTAGCCAGAACTTATGGCCACCAGCCTAAGTCCAAAGTGGCAAGTTGTCACTAGTTGAGAACAGCTGGATAGTTCAGCGGTTTAGACCACTGGCTGCAGAACCAGAGGTTGGGAGTTCAATTCCCACTTGTGCGTCTTTGACAGAAGCTGGACTCGATGATCCCTTCTAGCTCTGCAGTTCTCAAATTATTATTATTATTATTATTATTATTATTATTATTATTATTATTATTATTATTATTATTATTAATCAGTGCTTGCATTTCTTGTCACATGTCAGTCATGTGACCTGGAGTGCAATGAGAGGTACAAGAGTGGACCTTTTAATTAGCAGAAATTCACCACTGAAATTTATGCCATTATGCTCCATAAATATCCAGTTGCATTCTGGCCAATGAATTTTCTTTGAATTTGTGATAATGAGACTTCAAGGGCTTTGTAACATTTTGAAAATGTTTAACTTTCAAAAAAGAAAATTGCAAAGGCTGATGAGGTCATCAACCTTATGGCATGGAACATAAGCAAAAGGAGTTCAACTACTGCTATATTAAAATATAAGTAATATGTTTGATATATTAAAGCAACAGTTGGATTAAAGGCAATTTTAAAGCCTGTCATTTTTTAAAAAAAAATACAGTAAGGCAGCACACCCTTGGAAGCTCTAGCTGTCAGCAGAGAGTTGCCAAAATAGGCGGGGTATAAATCAAATAAATAAATGAATAAATAAAATAAAAAGTGCAAGCCGGTGAAAGAGCAGGACAGGGGCTTCCCTTGGATTTATACATTCCTCACAGTACTGTGACAGAGGTTATACTCAGATGGATTTCTAGCAGTGACTGGTGCTAAGGGAGATGCTGTAAACACTGAGGGCCCATCAGGTTGGTTTGTTTTTTTAAATCAACTGGAACTCATTTCACTTTTGCTAGTGGCTCAGATTTCCCAGATTATTTCTCTAACTGGTTGAAAAAAGTTAGGTGAGACAGAGGATTGCAGGAAGTCAAGCCATGATCATAGAAACAGGCTTCTGAAGCGCTCACTTCTTCTCCTTCCCTGCCCTCCTCTTCAGACTTCAACATTCAGCTTTCTTTGTGAAGGCAGGTTTGACCTTAAACTAGAATTTGGGGCTGTCATTTGTTTGAATTACAGCTCCTAGAATCTCCAAGCTAGAATGGCCAATGGCAGCCACAATTAGCTGGGGGATTCTGTGTGCCATTGTCAAAAAAATAAAAAATAAAATAATAAAATACAACTTTTTCAGGCTCCGAAGACATCTGATTTGCTACGCGGGAAGGAAAAACATAAACTGCTGCCTTTGTCTGAAGAAAGAAATAAAAAAACAAAACAGAGGAAGGAAGAAAAAGGCAGCAACATTAACTAAAAGTGGGTTAAAAAGAAAGCACCAAGTTAAATATATGGCAAAAAGGCTTTCTTGCAGTTAGAAAGTGGTGTCAGCCACCAAAGTACAGTAAATGGGACTGCTGAGTAATTTGATTTGAATGCTACACCCTGCTCCAGAACATCAGGGACTATCCCTGAGGGAAAGTACAGAGTGGCCTGGCTCTTGCTTGCAATCTTCTAACCGAGTAAATGAGCAAGACCATTTATTCAGGACTGTACTTTCCTAATAGAGGCCCTTTTCAAATGGAACATCTATGGTTTCCTGTTCTAGTGCATTCCATAGTACAGGTAATGCCTGTAGCCTTGTCAGGGCTTCTCCAGAGGGGTCACTTTTACACCTCTTTAAGATCCCATTAAACTCTGACCTTAACTGGCGTTCTCTTGACAACCAGCTGACATTTCCCTTACCTGTATAAACAAGGGATTTCTGTCACGTTCCCACATTTTTTTTGTTCCTCCTTAAACCCCTTGGTTTATTTTGTTCCCGTGTGTGATGCTTCCCTTCCCAGTCCAAAGCTTACCCGTGTCAGCATTTAAATATTTTTGGCAGTTTCCAGTATTGAAAATTAGAATTTAGAAAAGGAATTTGAAAAGGAATTGTTAGGCGGCAGAGGAAGAGGTGGCAGAGCTCGTGTGGAGCTCAAGGTGATTTGGAGAGTGAAGCCCAGAGCTCCAGCTGCCCCATAGAAACTTTTGAGAGCCTCTGTTCCTCAAACCCAGTTTGGTTGAGAATCCTGGCAAATCCTAGTAAACGTGGATAAATCATAGGCTCAAGCAACAAAAAGGGGGGGAAACCCAAAGTGGCAGAAATGGAAGGAGCCCTGAGTGGGCTTTTTACATTGGAAAAACTGAAGAGGTGATAGTGGCCAGAATGTTGTCATAAAAGACAGTGGAACCAATTGCTTCGAGAGGCGGTGAGTGCCTCAGCACTGGAGGCATTCAACAGAAACATAGACAGACGTGGCAGATCTGCTTTGACTTGAATTCCTGCCTTGAGGAGGGGTTTGGACTGGATGGCCTTATAGGCCCCTTCCAACTTCACAATTCACGATTCTATGATCCTATGTCCACTCCCAAGAAGATGTTGTCATGATTAAGAAAACTTATCAAGGTTAACTTATAGGCCCCTTCCAACTTCACTATTCACGATTCTACCATCCTGTGATTCACAGTCCACTCCCAAGAACATTTTGTCATGATTAAGAAAACTTATCAAGAATAAAAAGGCCCTTTACCTCAGCATATATTCCTCACTCCTTTCTTCTACTAACTGATTGTGTGTCTGGGGTCCTCCCAGGTATGTCTGTTTGGTCCTGTTTCAGCTATTTTCATTGCTCTTTTTGGCTGAAGCTCCTTCTGCTTCAGAAAGAAAAGCATGCTGCAGATTTTCTTCAAATCCTTCCATTCTGAAGAAAATACAGTAGTTTGTTGTTTTGAAAGGTGGCAGGAGAAACAAGTTGTTCCTCACTTCATAACCTCGAAAAACTCTAGCAAAGGCTTAAAAACACAATCATTATGATGTATTTATTTTGCTAAATGCATTGAACTGATAGAGGTAGAGGAGTAAACCTGAGAACCCCCTCCTTCTAAAACATCTTCTGCTTGGCAATTCCTTGTTGCTCTTTTATTTACCGGTACTTTGCATTTTGCTCTCATGGTTTCTCTCCTCACATACGCCTTGTAATTTGTATAGTTTGAAAACTCTCAGTAAAACAAATACAGAAAAGTAAAGGCTTTTAAAAATTTTGGATTTGGATCTTGTACAACCCTGGGTATTTAGCGATTATACCCTTAGAAATGCTTTCCCCTTTGTATTTTAACTAAACGGGCAAATTCATTGATGGATCTATGAGTGCAAAAGCACAAATTCAGGGTTTTTTGCTTTAATTTTTTTTTTAAATCTGCAACAAGCGGATATAATGTTGAAAGGACAGCCTGTTTCATCACAGGTTTTAGTGCTAGAGAGCTCAGTAAATTCCTGGTGAGATAAATGTTTTAGATCTCATAAAATTACTTACAGTGCTAGGAGTCTTCAAGATAGAGGTGAAAGTGAACTGCTTCATTCTTGTAGAGAAATGAGAGAAACTGTTCTTTAGGTGTGGATCTGAGCAGAAAAAGCTTTAATTTCTACACTCTGTTTACGGTAGGAAGGTAGTGAAACAGGTCATTAGAAAGGCTAACATTTCCTTTTCTCTTCTTCTGGGTCTAAATCATTTTAAAGCAAAAGCATGTAACAAATATCTTTTTCTTCTTCAAAACAAAAATGTTCCCTTGTGCTAAATTCTTCCAGATCTAAAGTAACATACGGGCATCAGTAGTTTTAGAGAAAAAGTTGTGTATCAAATCTGCTATCTACGCTCAGGAGATTGTAGAGCAACAAGATAAGGGTGGAGGTGAGTTGTGATCCCAGCTATAGTACTGGATCTTGCTTTTGAAAAGAGGCCCGAAGAACCACATCTGGGAATGACAGGATTCTTTCCATGTCAGGTCCTACCTTGGTATCTTGGGCATGTGTTCTGCTGCTATTTGATGCTCAAGGATCAGTCCCTCAACTTCTGGGTGCAGAACACAGAGGGAACAAATGCAAGCTGAAAATTGACTGCTCTATGTGAGCTGGATGGGCAACCCATCAGCCTTATGGAGTGCAGGAAATGGGGAGAGGGAAGCTGTTGTTAACATCTGGAGACAGCCCACCTCTGCTTGATGCAGTTTATAAAGGATTAAGGTGAGGAAAACAAATCCACCCTACTTTATTGTCAACTTCCTGACTTTTCCCTCCAAGTGAATGCTTTCCATTCCTTTGGGTTTAATTTGTATCTAAACTTAGCACCTCTCTTCAGAGCCAGGGCTTAAAGGTGGATCACCAGAAGAAAGAACAGAAGGAATTATCCTTGAGCAGGTGCGGAGTGTGTAAACTAAGTAACTTCAGAGGTTTCTGTCTTGCACATATACACATACAGTGAATTAAGCATTGATTCCCCCCCCCATATTCTAGTTAAAAGAAAAGAGCCCTGGGAAATCCACCAAACATAAGAAGAGACAGAGTGGGATGTAAACCTTAGGAACATCTTTGTATTGAGTCCTAACTTGTACGAAGCTAATAATTAGTAAGATGTAAGAATGTTAAATATGTAAACTCACGTGACTTGGGAATTTGGATCAACAGTGTTTTGCTGGGGGTTGGGGGCTAGCAACTCATGCTGGAAGTGTGTTAAGCAACCTGAGACTTTTTTTTCATATGTGGTGGACCTGCGATAAAGTAAAAAGATTTTGGAAACAGATAAAAGATATTACACAAGAAATTATACAACAAAAAATAGCC